AAGAGGTTACAGCAACAGAGAAGGAGTCTTGGCCATAGGTTCTCAGGTTGTAGACTTGAAAGACAGATTATGATTCATTGATGAGCAACGAGGTTTATTCAAAAGAGTTGTGTATCTTTTGCAGGACCACCTAGTCAAGAGTGCTAGTGGACACTTTGCATTGAAACGACTCATCGTACAAGACAAAGAGCGAGCAGAATCAACGCACGATGAAGGTTTGAAATGCTTCTTAACTTGGCCATATAAAAAGAGAGAAGTTTAACATAGGACAACTTTAAAAAAGTTTTCTCTGTATTTTTTATATATATTTTTTTCTGTTTTCTATATGGATTGTATTGGCGCAGAGTCTGTTTTTCCTGCCCTCGTCCGTGATTTCTTACGTAGCTGATCAATGTATTTCATTATTTTCAGGAACGACATACTTCTCCAGAATTCTGTTAGATACRRTCAGTCCGRSTGCATTATTGGAATGGTGCAAAATTAACCGTGGAGCGTTYGTGGTCACGAGGTTTGTTTTATACACTACCTCGTACCTTTTTTGTACAATTTCAATCCCTTCCCATCACTTGTTTCACCATCTACAGTGTAGAACTCTTTTCTTCTTTTTTTCTGCGTTTCCAGAACTCTCTTTATCTTACTTTCCGTTCTTCTTATCCTCATTTCCGTAAAGTATCCTTGAGAACGTTAATTCCYTTTTTTTCTCATTTTTCCGTTTCTCATCCTCGCTTTTTCTTCGGTCATTTCTCTTTTCGTCTTTTTCTTTTCCTTCTTSCATTCTAATTCGTTTCCTCTTAACTTTACTCATCCTCCCTTCTCTTCAATCTTCCAACTTGTTAAGAGGCTGTTTATACGAGATAGGGTGCCCCTACTAGGGTGCCCCTACCACATAGTATGTGGTAGGGCTGTTTTGTACCCTATATCATGTAAGTGGCCTCTAATTCGCTTTAGTTCTAGCATATTTCCTCTTGTGTTTGTGGCTCTTCCAGTGTACTGCTTTACCACCTTCTGTTAACTCTTTTCAGTTTGTTAGAAAGTTCAGTCTCTGGAGTCGCTGAGGAAATCAAGAAGATAGTCCAACCAAAATTGAAAAAGCTTGAAAAACATCCAAGTAAAGGACTCGAAATAATCGCTAAAATTATCAATAAATGAATTCATCTTTGCGAGAAGAATAGTGTAAACAATTCATGAAAAATAGAATTTACTATCTTTATTTTTCACAAACACTGGAAAAATCGCGCCCATTAAAGGTTGTAAATTTAGCTAAATTTGATGTAAATATGATGTAAGTGTCCAAAATTCTGTAAATTTAAT